CAACCCACCTTCCCCCTCCCCCAACCCCTTTATTATGTCCTATGACTCGCCAGCCATTCCCCCCAGACACTCCCCCACTATATCACAGATCTCCCGTGTATACGTTGTAACAATCACAGCTGATCACTAACCATTTTGAAAGACGTTGGTCTTCCCGACCCCTGGCCGCCCGCTTGACGTCACCACATAAACACCAAAAGTCGGCTAGACCGTCATGACACCAGGCGGGTGGCCCTGGGACCGGTATTCCAGTAATTAATCGCCTCGTACGACATGCACACTGGAACGCATCGGGCCTATTCTTTGCCGGCACCCGCGCGGCGCTCACATTCACACAAATCGAGGGCTTAGATTGAGAAACCTGTATGCCACATTTATTTCCCAAATCGACTTTTTTGTTGCTTCTCCGTGGTCGCAGATCTTTCTCCGTCACGTATTTTTTTTTTGCGATATGAGGATCGGACTGTAAATAAATCATTTACAGCCCGAGCCTCACATCGAAGCAAAAGTGACGGAGAGAGATCTACGGTCGTAGGAAAGTTTTAAAAAAAGTGAATTTGAGAAAAAGTGGAATATAGTTTCTTGAACTGAACCGTCAAAATGCACTCACTCTCGCACTACATACATTATATACATACTATACATACTATACATACTATACATACTATACATATATACATACAGATGTCCGCTGGACTGAAAGACATATGGTTGAGGTAGGGCTTGTGGGAAAAATACTACTGCATAAATTAATAAGTTGAAAGACTATAAAGTTGAACTGCTGCTGTAGTTCAAATGAAAGACTGGGTTGAAAGACAAAAAAATGAGATACTGGGTTGAAAGACAACACAAACACGTTGAAAGACGGATGATGCGAGGGTATTTGAATGAAAGACATTTGGGCTGAAAGACAGAAATAATACTGTGTCGGAATAACTGGAATAAATAACAAGATGAAAGACGTTTTGGTTAAGGCACGGCGCGCTTGAAAGACAAGAGTTGATGGCTAGAATGATATATTGACTAGAGTGGTGTGTATTGAAAGACAATGGCGTTTGGCTAGATAACAATAACAAAATATCAGTTTGTCCCCGTGTCCCTTTTTACTTCCTTCTTTTGTTTTTGAATTGGTTAAAGATACCACGACTGTCTAGCTAGTGCTGCGAGGTGGTCGACGTCAGCACTGGTTTTTCTTTGTTTCGTTTTGTTCCTGTTTGCTGCATACTTTTCTCTTATTTCACTTAACTGGGCTTGGTGGTGTGTGCCCCTTGCTCCCCCCCCCCCCAACCTCTCTCATTTCTGCCCCCTCTGTCACCACTTACTTTTTGTCGTCATCTTGTGAGCGGCGTTTTCTGATGTTCTTTGCGCTGTCTGGGCGGCCTGTGGGCGTCTCTTGGCGTAGTCGTTTGTGTCGCTTTAGGTGTGTCTTTTGGCCTTGTGTGGTGACGTTTTGTGTCTCTGGGCCTTGTGTGGCGACGTCGTGTGTCTCTGGGCCTTGTGTGGCGACGTCGTGTGTCTCTGGGCCTTGTGTGGCGACGTCGTGTGTCTCTGGGCCTTGTGTGGCGACGTTTTGTGTCTTCGGGCCTTGTGTGGCGACGTCGTGTGTCTCTGGGCCTTGTGTTGTGACGTTTTGTGTCTCTGGGCCTTGTGTGGTGACGTTTTGTGTCTCTGGGCCTTGTGTGGTGACGTGTATCTCTCGGTCTTGTGCGGTGACCTTGCGTGTCCGGTCTAATGTGATTTTATGTCTAATCGAATGTTGTGATTTTGTGTGTCTGGTCTGACGTGGTGACGTTGCGTGTGCGTGTCTCTCGGTCTGACGTGGTGACGTTGCGCGTGCGTGTCTCTCGGTCTGACGTGGTGACGTTGCGTGTGCGTGTCTCTCGGTCTGACGTGGTGATTCTGTGTCTAATGTGTTGATTTTGTGTCCTGTCCTAATGTATGCATTTTGCTTGGCTGGTGTGACGTGGTGATTCTGGGTGTTTCTGGTCTGGTGTGGCGACATTGGGTTTGCGTTGTTTCTCGGCCTGAGGTGATTTGTGATTTTGGTTGACTCTGGTCTGATGTGATCTTATTGTGGCTTCTTCTGTCGCGGTTCTTTTTCTTTGTGGCTTTTTCTTTCATGGTTTTTTGTTTGTGGCTTCTCTCCTGCTGGTTCGTTTTGTTTGTGGTTTCTTCTCTTCTGATTCTTTTTTGTTTGTGGCGTTTTCTTTCATGGTTTTTTGTTTGTGGCTTGTCTCGTGGTTCCTTTCTTGTCTTATCGTGGCTTCTCTTTGTACGACGCGGTGGCATTGCGTGGGAGTCGTGGTTCTTGTTGTCCTCCCGTGTGTTGTTGGGAGGTTGTCGACGTGACGAAATATAGGCTGTGGGGAGGAGAGAATATATTGCACAAATTATACACGTGGCTTGGGGTATTGGGGGAGGGGGGGGGTACCAAGGTGGGAATGTACCGAAGGAAGGGATTGGGAAATGTACTTAGTTTAGACCCGCATGTGAGCCTCAACCAGATTGTCTGAAAATTTTGCGCAACCCCCCCCAGACATCCGAGTAACGAGCGACCACCCCAACAAACACAATAAAGAAGAGACCTAACCCTAACCCTACCCCCAAAAAGAACCTGCAACGGGCCTCATGTAAA